GAGACACAGAGAGAGGAAAATGAAGAAACAAAGTCTTCACTATAAAGAGTATTATGCTGAGTGAAGTAAGTCAATCAGAGAAGGACAAACAGTGTATGTTCTCATCCATTTGGGGAATATGAATAATAGTGAAAGGGAATATAAGGGAAGGGAGAAGAAATGTGTGGGAAATATCAGAAAGGGAGACAGAGCATAAAGACTTCTAACTCTGGGAAATGAACTAGGGGTTGGTGGAGGGAGAGGAGGGCGGGGGGTGGGGGTGAATGGGTGACGGGCACTGAGGGGGACACTTGACGGGATGAGCACTGGGTGTTATTCTGTATGTTGGTAAACTGAACACCAATAAAAATTAATTTATTAAAAAAAATAAAGAGTAAACTGTTAGTTGCCAGAAGGGAGGTGTGTGGGGGGATGAGTGAAATAGGAGATGAGGATTAAGGAAGGCATTTGTTGTGATGAGCACCAGGTATCAGGTATGGTAAGGAAGTGTTGAATTGTTGTATTGTACAAATGAAACTAATATTACACTGTATGTTAACTGGAATATATTTTATTTTATTCTTTAAATTCTAAAGATTTATTTATTTTTATTTATTTATTCATGAGAGACACAGAGACAGAGAGGCAGAGACACAGGCAGAGGGAGAAGCAGGCTCCCATAGGAAGTCCTATGTGGGACTCAATCCCTGAACGGGATCCATGTCCTGAACCAAAGGCAGGCACCCAACCCTTGAGCCACCCGGGGGTCCCATAGTTTATTTATTTTTTGAGGTGGGGAGGGGCAGAGGGAGTGGGAGAGGGTCTCCAGCTGACTCCCCACTGAGCACTGGATCCTGACACAGACATCAATCCCATGACCCCAGGTCAATACCTAACCTGAAACCAAAGGTCAGACACCCATTTCCTGAACCATCCAGGAGCCTCAACTAACTGGAATTTAGATAGAAACATTAGAAAATGGCCCCTGATCAATTTTTATGTCAGTAAAATAGTTACAAAAAGTCTAGACAACTAGCTAGGATGTGTTTCTTGATATGATGTATATAAAACCCAGGAAGCTTTCTTGCAGGAAAAAAATGTAATCTGAATGTATTTAAGCTTTGAGATTCATTTTCTAATTTATAGGAAGTACAGCGTTTAGAGAAGCAAGTGAAATGACACCATAAGGAAACAAAATCAGAATGTGGGCATTTTGAGAAGAGAACATGTCTGGCCTGGTCTTTTAAAGAGTTTATATCATAAAAAAGTTGGGGGTGGGTGGGTAGAGGACTGTTACAGAGGGTAGTGTTTTGCTTACTGAATTTGTAAAAACTGAACACACACATATCTAGCAGCTAGATCAGGAAGCAAACATTGCTGGCACCCAGAAGTTGCAGCTCCCTTCCATTTATAAATGCCTTTTTAAAAAAGATAAATTTATTTATTTGAGAGAGCAGGAGAGAGAGAAATCCACAAAGAGGGCTCCTGTGTGGCTCATTTGCAGAGCATCTGCCTTTGGCTCAGGTCATGATCCTGGGTTCGCTGGAGTCAAGCCCCACATCGGGTACCCCACAGGGATCCTGTTTCTCCATCTGCCTATGTCTCTGCTTCTCTCTCCCTGTCTCTCATGAATAAATAAATAAAATCTTTAAAAATAGTAATCAAACTAGAAATCAATAACAAAAAAATATCCAAAACATTTGGAATGCCGGCTACATATATGTGAATAAACTGTGGGTCAAAAAGGAGGTCTCAAAGGACATTTTAAAATACACAGAAATAAATTAAATGCACAAAAACAATCTCCAGAATTTGTGGTATGCAGCTTATGCTGTGCTGAGAGGGAAATTTGTACCATGAAATGCTTACAAGTGAGGAAATATCTCAATCAAGAATCTCATGTCCTACGCAAGAACTAGGAAATAAGAGCAAAGGGAACGCCCAAAAAAGGAGAAAGAAAGAAATTATAGAGTAGAGCACCCAGGTGACCCTTAAGTTGGACACTGTGAGTGGAAAGAATGAACCTGAGCCCCATAGAAAGGCAGGGCTGGGTCTGTAGCATCAAAGTTTGTTCTGTGGGTGGTATGTGGATGCGAAAGAGGAAGATGGTAGAGGCTGTGAGGGGACTAGCCTTTTCTCTCCCTCTGAGAGGACACAGGCAGATGCAGGAACCCTCAGATGTTGGCTTCTGCCCTGGGAGATCTTCAGGCTTCAGGTTCCCTTGGGTGGAACGTTTGCTCTTCCGAGAAGGGCAGGCAGATGGCAAAGGACTCTGACACCAGGCACAGGGCTCAGCCAGGAGGAGCTGTGAGAAGAGCCCAGGGTTCTGCTCAGCCCTGCTGCCTGGGGGGCTCAGCTGGGGCTCAGGAAACAGGATGTTGTGCTCAGGGGGGCTGGGTGATGGGTGTGTTTCCAAGGTCAGGCATGAAGGGTCAGAAGTTCGTCAACCCTGCCTGACTATAGGATAGCATCAGGGGCCAGGAGGTTCCTCAAGAGGCTTGAGCAGACTCCCAGCTTCCCTATGGACACCCTCTGGGCGCAGCAATCAGCCAAGCAGGGAGCTGGAATGGATGTGCCAGAAAGTAACATCCACACATATGCAAAGGTTTGAGGATTGACAGATGAGAGCAGAATCGGGTTGTCCCATGAGAATGCTACTTCTGCCTCACTGTACTCTCTTTTGTAGAAGGGAAATGGGCAGCCTCTCCAGCAGTCCCTCATTGCTCCTCCCTGCTCAGTCGTGGGAGGGGCAGGGCTGAGACGCTGTCCGTGGTGCTGAGGACCCTCAGGCCTTCCCAGGGCTTGGGAGCCTTGATCTTCTAGCTGTACCCCTCTCTTCCATTCTTAACAAGGAGAATTACTGACAAGAGGAGGTGGAGAGGGCTGCAGGGAGTGTGGACTGGCCTCTGTCTCCAACACTCAGGGCAGTGAGGGTACTGTGGCCATCACTGCAGAAAGCGACCACAGTCAGATGACCGAGTCCAGGTGCCCATCAGCAGTTTGCTTCGAAGGAGACTGTCGAATTTGACCTTGAGGGGTGTGGTATACAGAACAATGGTCGTCTCAGAGATGTTCCTATTCTCATCCTCAGAATCTGTGAATATGTCAATGATAAAGAGACTGACTGATTAGGGTAAGGATCAAGTGACTGGGACATTATGGTGGTATTCTGGGTGGGCGAAAATAGCCACAATCATTCCTTCTTTAAGAAAAGAAGGAAGCAGGAGAGGCAGAGCCAAGAAGACGATGTGATGGAAGGAAACAGGAGACAGAGACTCGGCGTTGCTCTGCTGGGTTTGAAGGTGGAGGAAGGGGCCACAACTATGGGACGCAGGTGGCCTCCAACAGCTTTAAAAAGCAAAGACAGATTTTCCTTGAGCCTCCAGAAGAAACTGCCAGGTCAGCACCTTGTGCTGACTTACACCTCTGAGCTAGCAATAATTTGGTACAGCAGCAAGAGGAAACTAGCAAGAGATGTCACCTTGTCTAATTCAGCATAGTGTCCATTGGGAAAAGGAGGAGTTGAATAATGACGTGATACTTTGCAGGTTGTTTTTCCTACCTCTCATGTCGTGACTAAGAACACTTGGGCAAAGGCAACCCACCTGTGAAATGCAGGTGTGGTACCTTGGTGCTCAGACCACTTTTGTTTGTGTGAATGTGGACACCGTGATGCACCGTGGAGGGGGCTGCAGGTGAGGCACAGGTGGGAGGAGGCCCGTGGAAGAAGTGGAAGAGACCATTTGTCCCATCACCATGGGAGCTTGGGTGACAGTTTGGTGAGGGAAGTGCACAGCCTTTGACCTGGACACTTCTTTGTCGGGAGGAGGTGTGTCTCAGGAAGATCCAGTTGAGGGAGAAATTTGTACACTGATGGGAAGGACTGGGCTAGAGGGTACAGGCAGTGCCTGGGAGGGCCATGCTCAGGGCATGAGTTCTGGGTCTTCCCCCTGGGGTTACTCTGACAGCCTCTCTCTGTCACCCCAGAGGTAAGGATATCTTGAAGGGTGGCCTCTGACACAGAAGAGAAACCTTTGGACTTGTGTCAGTGCCCTGGATCCTGGATTTGGGGACAGACAAGTTTATTGGTGAAGGCCACCAGTGACGGCCACCAGGGCTGGGTGAGGAGGGCCAAAGGACTCAGGACACCAAAAGGCTGTGAAGGGGTCCCACCCAGGATGTGTTCTTGCTCTTGGCTGTTCCTCTAGCTCCTCTTCCTGTGTTCAGGAGGGCCCCATTTTCTGTGCACATTTATAAATCCGATGCACATTTATAAGCTCTGGGAGTGTCTATAGCCTTGGTCCCTGAGCAGTGTGAGGACTACTAAGGGCTCTCATGGTTTGGCCTCTGCCCTGGTGTTCTGGTGAGCACGGTCCCACCTTTCTACATCACTCAGCCTGCCAACTATACTGGGGGAGTAGAGACAGGGACTTGGCTAACTAGGAGGTAACATCTCCCTCTCTGATCCACGAGCAGAGACCCAGGGTTTCAGGTGAATATCTTTTTTTCCTCTCCTCCTCCCCCTCCCCCTCCCCATCCTCCTCCCCATCCTCCTCCTCCTCCTCCTCCTCCTCCTCCTCCTCCTCCTCCTCCTTCTTCTTCTTCTTCTTCTTCTTCTTCTTCTTCTTCTTCTTCTTCTTCTTCTTCTTCTTCAGATTTTACTTACTTATTCATGAGAGACACAGAAAGAGAGAGGCAGAGACACGGGCAGAGGGAGAAGCAGGTTCCATGCAGGAAGCCTGATGCGGGACTGGATCCTGGGACTCTGGGATCATGCCCTGAGCCAAAGGCAGATGCTCAACCCCTGAGCCACTGAGGCATCCCATTCTTCTTCTTTTTCTTCTTCCTTTTACTTTATTCTTTTTTAAAAAGTAAACTCTGTGGCACACATTGGGCTCAAACTCATGACCTCAAGATCAAGAGTTGCATGCTCTACTGACGGAGTCAGCCCGGTTTCCCTGGGTAAATTTCTGCTAATTGCCATTCACAAAAAAAGGGCAAAAGAGGGGAAGATTCTTCTTTATTCAGATCCTCTCACCATGTCCATGGTGAGTCAGGAGTAAGGACACTTTCCCTGGGAACCTCTGCTTCCTGGGAGATGCAGGCCTTTGTCTGATTCAGGCCAGCCTGTGGATCTCCAGAGAACAGGAGGTACCCAAACCTGGGTCCATGTCCCTGAATATCCTTAAGTCTTAGCACTGGTTCTCTGGCTCAGGCTGCGACCCCTGACACCACCTAGGGTCTGGGGTCATAGGAAGGCTCCTGGAAGGAACAGTTCCCAGGGGGAAAATAAGAAGCTACTTCTGCTTTGTGGTTGATTCTGCAGTAAATGCTTGTGTCAGGGTGTTGTAATTCCTGTAAAACAAGAAGAGGCCTCTGAGCCCCTGTAACCTTCTGTGAACATAACCTTCTTGTGTGACTTTCAGGTTCCAGGCCCACCTGGGCTGCTCTCTGGGAGCAAGGCCATGTGGCAGGTTTCTGACCCAGGTTCCTTCTTCCCCCCACTACCCCTTGTTACCCTTTGCTCTGTTGTTTCCTGAACTTAAGAACAGCCAGGGCAGTCTTGGGGCAGATCTTTGGCCCCTTTGGGCTTCAGGGACCAGAACATTCAATTGCCCACACTCACCTGGTAGATAGGAATTGCTGCTGTGGGGCTGGGCAGGGAGTCCTAAACAGGAGAGAATGGGTGTTGGTAGCAGAGAGAGAGGGTCATTTCTCTACAGGAGTGACCAGTTCTACCACTCGAGCAGCCTTCTCCATGCCTGTTGACCCATGCCCCTGTCCCAGACCACTCCCCACTGCACTCCATGCACCATTCCTGTTAGCCCAGCACATCTGGCTGATGCCTCTGAGGCCCACCCAGCCCATGGCTGGAATCCAGGCTTCAACTTTGGCTATCTCAGGGGAACAAGAAATCTCAGGACAAGGTGTGGCCAGATCCTGCCCCAGAAGTTGGTACATTCCTGGCCAGAATGGGACTTGCCGTGTCCTGGTTAGTCTAGGGGAGGCAGGGTCTGCAAATGAAGCTAAATTGGTTGCTGGTCCTACCTTAAGCCGACACACCCTGGATCCCAGTGAAAAGAGTAGGAGAAGGAGTGAACTTACCGGGTATGTGCACCTGCTGGCTGCACCATGGCCTGGGGGCAGAGACAGAGGTCAACACCCAGAGTTGTAAAGAAGCTTGGGCCTACCATCCCAGGCAGGGACAGGTCCTGAGCTCTCAGGGTCCAGGGAAGAAGAAGCACCTCCCAGGGAGAGACCCATGGGCCATTTAGAGCACAGTGAGTGCCAGGTTATGACCCATGGTCCAAACTCCAGAAGTCAGGGAATATGGACAGTGGAGTTCGCCTGTGGTGAAGCCCCAGAGAAAGGGTCAGAAACCCCATGGGGTGACTCCAGGAGTGGACACTGTGGGGCGGGACTATAGAGCTCCTAGACACGCCTGGGCTGAAGAGATACTCACCGGGGGTGGATGCTGGGCTCCGGAGTTCTTTGAGATCACTGACCCTAAGAAAGATCAGGCTTAAGTGTGAAGGATGCAGGGCGAGGTCAGAATTTTGTTGTTATAGCTGGGGACAAGGAAGACTGTCAATCAGGCAGGAGTTACAGAATTCCTCTTTCCACTGCTGCTGTTTAGCAGAGCAAAGGCCCAGGAGAGGGGATAAGGAGGGAGTTGGAGCAAGTCTGTCCTGGGCCCAGATGGGAAGCCTTAGAGGTTGATGGAATCTAGGAGAACGTGTCCTGAAAAGCGATGGACCACCCAGGAAAGATATAAAACATGAGGATTTGAATGTGTAGAAGGAGCAAGGCTGCAGCATCATGTTCAGGACATGTTGAGAACTCTGGGGATGCTGAATCCCTGAATGTGGGGCCCCTGCTATGTCATTGCATTGCCCCCTCAGGTCAGGAGATGCAGTATATGACAATGACCCGTCCTCTATCTCCATCTGCCTGGAAGAGGCATAAAGTACATCCCAGGATCTTCCCTAGGTGATCCCAGGTTCTCTGGTCTCACACAAGTGAGTGTGGTGCTGTCGTGGTTCCTGCATTTGCCATTTTGAGGGATGACCTCACGTGGCCTGTCAGGTTCTTCCACTCTGCTGTGTGAGCTTCCCCAGGACCTCCCTTACATCCTGAGGCTGAAAATCCCCCTCACGGGACTCGGGGACTTAAATAAACCATGAGAAATGCCCTTTATTGAGCCCTTACTCCTGTCAGCACTGCTGTAGATTTTCCAAGTGAACCAGGACCACCCTGAGGAGCTGTTCCCCAATTGTGTCTAATTTACAACCAACGAGCCTGTGAAGGAAGCACCCAGGTCTGCAGCTGGTGAGGAAGGAGCCAGATGGAATGAGAGGGAAAATCCAGGGGACAGTTGGGAGGCCTGGAAGAGCCACCCAGAATCCTAGGTCAGGACTGGCTCTCCCTCCTGCCTGGAAGTCAGCTGTGGGACAGGATCATCTGTGATAAATGCCATCATACCTTCGACTCCTTGTGCGGAGCAGGAGACACCCCAGGGCAGCCACGAGTGCTAGTCCGAGCAGAACCCCGAGTGCAATGCCTATAATGGACCTCACAGAGTGGCCTACGGTGCTTCTTTCATCTGAAATAAGTAGAAAAGGGAATTGAAGGTGTGTGAAGTCAAATCATGGGACACCAGGAGGGGCCAAGAGGGAAGGCCCTGCTTATGGAGGAAGTCAAGGCTTCTGAGTCCTGGGTGGTTGTCACCACAGAGTCCTCACCCCCACCTGCTGCATCAGGTCTCTTTCTCACAGTGAAACCGTGAACGTGCTCTAATTCTCATGTTGTCCCACCACCATCACTACCATTCTGTTCATCTTCCTCTCACAAAAAGCCCCTTTCCCTGTGTCTTCCCTTTCATCGTCATTGAAGTTCTTACAGGGAGACCCTTACCTGTCCAATTAATGCTGATTAAAGAGATGACATAAGCTGATGACACTGAGGTCAGCTCTGTGCAAAGCACATGGGATATGATTTCTGTTTATCTTATCTGCTGCTTCTCTGCCCTTGAGGGTGTAATCCCCACTCTGCAAAACGAGCATCTAACTGTTAAAAGGGCTTAACTAAATCAGTGAAGATCACAGACCTGGAACGTGATAAGATAACAGTGAATCCCAATTTTATGTGATATTACCGCTAGTAACCAAAAGGTTAATGAAAAAAAAAAAACACAATAGCTGCTAAATTTGACTGAGCCCCAAATTTGTGTATGAAGCTGTCTTAGGATTTTGTCTCATGAGCTCATATTAACAACCCTTACAACAGCCTTAAGATCCGGCTGTTGTTTCCAGTTTTATAGATGAGAACACTCAGGCTCAGGAGGTTGAGTGTCTTGCCCAAGGTGCAATAGCTGGTACATATCAGAATGAAGATACTACAAGATAATTCTAATTCTGGTGATCTTATCTACAATGTCCTACAGGCCTCTACCTCCTCCAGGCCTTATCCATTTCACAATCCATTCCAGGAAAATATACAGGAAGGAAGGTGGACGAGTTGAAGTTCACTCACAGCTCACAGTCACACTGAAGGGGTCACTTTAGCTGGAACTGACCAGGTTGGAGACCTCACACTCGTATTTCCCGGCATCCTCCTTCCTGACAGGGTCTATGGTGAGGGTGCTCTTGATCTGGAACAGCTCCATCCTCTCTATGAGCTTTAGATTCTGCCCATTGAAGAACCACTGGATGGAACCTCAGTGTTATTTGTGGAGCAGATCAGGACCACAGAGTTTTTATGTTCTATGACTGGTGTTTCTGGCCTGGGTAGAGGGCTGGTCCACTGGCTCTGTGGACATACAGAGTTAACAGAAGGAGAGTGGGCCTGGGGCCTAGGTCTATGCTCTTTCCTCTGAGATCTTGGCCAACCTAAGGTCCCAGTGAGCTATGTAATGGTGACTCAGGGAATGGCCCTGCTATCTGCAGAAGGATGAGTGTCTTTGTTCAGGTGTTGAATGTAAGGAGAGGGCTATACCTACCCTCTGGCCCTCAGTTTCATGTCTGCTCTGATTGGACGTCTCTGTAGTATCAGCTCCAGGAACCTCTTCTAAGTCTACGTGTCCATAGACTTGTGGCATTTTCCCCCATGGATTATTTTCTTCAATTTTCGTGACTTTAAAGATTGGGCCTGTTTCCTTATACACCTTTTGATGGGGGAGGAAAACTCACAATGCTTCCCTCTCTGTATTCAAGGCAGCTTTATGGAAAATAGGGAAGGAAATTTCCTATGGAATGAAACAGTCTTCATAGCCTATGAATCAAAAAGTTTTTGATCTACAGGATTTCTCACTCTGAAGCTTTTCCACTTCCAGATCTGTGGATTGACTCTCATGGTGCAAACCTCCTGTAGAGAAGTGGTTCCTGTGTACAGAATACTGGCACCACCAGGAATAGAAGAAACTACTGCATCATAATAAAGGTATATATGAAATGCCTGTAGCTAGCCTCATACACTCCATGATGAAACACTGAAAGTGGGGGATCCCTGGGGGGTGCAGCCGTTTGGCGCCTGCCTTTAGCCCAGGGCGCGATCCTGGAGACCCGGGATCAAGTCCCACGTCGGGCTCCCGGTGCATGAAGCCTGCTTCTCCCTCTGCCTGTGTCTCTGCCTCTCTCTCTCTCTGTGTGTGACTATCATAAATTAAAAAAAAACACTGAAAGTGTTTCTTCTAATATTAGATAGAAGATAAATATGCCATTTAAACAAGCTGTAATCAATAGAGTTCAGAAACCCAAGTCAAAATAATTAGGAGGGGAAAAACCAGAATGCAATCAAATTGGAAAGGAAGAAGTACAATTATGTCTGTTTGCAGATGGCATGACATTATATGTCCAAAGCCATAAGGATCACCCTGAAAAGTGTGAAACTCATAAACAATTTCAACAAATTTGCAGGATCCAAAATCAACACACAAAATTACTCTGTTGTTAACACTAACAAGAAACTACCCCCAAAAGAAATGAACAGAAATGTCTGTTCATGTGTTTTTCACATTTCTTGACTGGATTCTTTGTTTTTTGGTTCTTGAGTTTGAGAAGTTCTTTGTCAATCTTGGATACTAGCCCTTTATCTGATGTGCTATTTGCCAATACCTTCTCCCATTCTGTAGGGACTTTGTTGGGTTTTGTCAACTGTTTCCTTTGCTGTGCAAAGTTTTGTATCTCAATGAAGTCCCAATAGTTCCTTTTTCCTTTTGTATCCATTGCCTCTGGAGATGCGTCTATCAGGAAGTTGCTGTGGCTAAGGTCGAAGAGGTATATCCTGCGTTCTCCTCCAGGAATTTGAAGGATTCCTGTCTCACAATTGAGTCTTTCATCCATTTTGAGTTTATCTTTGTGTATGGTATAGATAATGGTCCAGTTTTGTTTTTCTACATGTGACTGTCCAATTTTCCCAACACCATTCCTTGAGGAGACTGTCTTTTTTCCGTTGGATATTCATAAACAGACATTTCTCCAAAGAAGCCATACAAATAGCCAACAGAGACATGAAAAAATGCTCCACATCACTTGGCATCATGGAAATACAATTAAAAACCACAATGAGATAACACCTCACACCAGCCATAATGGTTAAACTAACAAGTCAGGGAACAGCAAATGTTGGTGAGGATGCAGAGAAAGGGAAAGACTTGTACACTGTTGCCACTGTTGCTGGGGATGCAGGCTGGTACAGGCACTCTGGAAAATAGTATGGAGATTCCTCAAGAAGTTAAAGATAGAGATATCTCATGACATACCAGTGCACTGCTAGTTATTTCCCTGAAGGACATTAATGTTGTGATCTGAAGGGGAACCTGCACTCCAGTGTTTATAGTAACAATGTACAGAATAGCCCAACTGTGGAAAGAGCCCAGATGTCCATTGGCAAATGAATGCATAAAGAAGGTATTGGCAAATAGCATATGTGTGTGTGTGTGTGTGTGTGTGTGTATACTCACCCTGGTGGAAAGCAGGTGCCCAACTGCTGAGACACTCAGGTGTCCCTGTGTAGAGTATTCTCCATGCTATACCTCATTTCAGAATCTCAATACCTTGGGGTACACTGGGTGGCTCAGCGGTTGGGCGCCTGTCTTTGGCCCAGGGCATGATCCTGGAGTCCCAGGAAGGAGTCCCGCATCGGGCTCCCTACATTGAGTCTGCTTCTCCCTCTGCCTGTGTCTCTACCTCTCTCTGTGTGTCTCTCATGAATAAATAAGTAAGTAAATAAATAAATAAAATAATTTTAACAAATACATAAATAAAATAAGATGAAATCAAACAGGGATACGAACCAAAAGAGGCTCTTTGCTCTAGGAAACAAACATGGATATAGCGGAAATAGGGGGCAGACGGGGTAACAGGGTATGGGTATTAAGGAGGGCACGTGATGTAATAAGCGCTGGGTATTATATTCAACTGACAAATTACTGAACTCTACGTCTGAAACTAATGATACATTATATATGAGTTAATTAAATTTAAATAAAGTAAGCTTAAAAAAGCAAATTAAGAAAACAATTCCATTTACAATAATGTGGAGGTGGTTTCTAACACCGATATTCTGGGACACAGCATCAGAGGAGGCCCTGGGGATGTGTCCTCTTCCCAGGAGAAGTTCAAAGTGAGATATATTAACCATGAACTGGTCAAGGCATCCTTATCACTTGCAGGACAGGGATCCCAATTTTAGTCAGAATAGGGCCAACTGGGTTGTAGACTGAGCTAGGGGAAGGGACAGCTCCCCCAAAACTCATGTTTCAGGGGAACCACTTTGGGATGGGGTGGTGGTGAAGTCAGAAGACTCAGGAGAATGCCTCGCTTGGGACAAGAGAGATTCTGTGGAGAGGAAAGGATGTGAGCAGAACGACCCTCCCTGTGGCTCCTGGGGGGCCTGGGAATGACCTGTTAAGTGTGGGCCTGCCTCATTGGGCTCCCTGCCCAGCATGGAGTCAGGTTCTATCTCTCCCTTTGCCCTTTCCCACTCTCTTACAATTAAATAAATAAATACGTACATACATACATAAATAAAAAATATATATATATTTTTATCACAATCAGTTTTGTTTTTTTAATAATATATTTATTTTTTATTGGTGTTCAATTTGCCAACATACAGAATAACACCCAGTGCTCATCCCGTCAAGTGCCCCCCTCAGGATTTTTAAAAAGATCTTTTTAAAAAGATTGTATTTATTTATTCATCAGAGACACAGACAATAGACAGAGACATAGGCAGAGAGAACCAGGCTCCATGTGGGGAGCCCAATATGGGACTCGGCCCAGGAAACCAGGATTTTGACCTGAGCCAAAGGCAGAACCTCAATCATTAAGCCACCCAGGCATCTCTACAGAAATAAAATCTTAAAAAGAAATCAATAAACAATGGGCAAAAATCTTGAAGAGACATTTCTCCAAAGATATATAGTGACCAACAAGCTTCTGAGGAAATTCTCAATGTCATGAATCATTAGAAGGCAAATCAAACAACAGATTTCTTTAAGGGAGAAATTCGGATGGAGAACCCTGGGGTCCTTGAAACCCCCGTCCCTTCCAAGAGGAAGCTCCAGATGTCACCAGTACAAGTAATGTTGGTGGGTGAGGTTCATTTCCTGTTCCCAAATAGCCTGTTTCAGCCTCCTATGGCAGGTCATGGGGTCCCTGAGTTTCTAAGGAGACCATAATGGAGAAGAGGCTCAAAGCTCCAGGGATTATCAGGAGTTGAGGTGCCAAGGTGGGAGAGGAAGGGCTGGGCAGGGATGGAAAGATGAGTTAGGAGGCAACTGTGTGGGAGGGGGCAGATCAAGGATTCAAGACGGCCAAAAGTCTAAGATGTGACATGAAAAATAGAATGAAAGAATAAAAGAAATTTTAAAAAAAGAAGGAAATAAGGAAAGAAAATGAAGAAAAGAGAGCTCCTGGGTGGCTCAATACCTAGAGCATGAAATTCTTGTCTCAGAATGGTGGGCTCAGGCCCCACATAGAGTTTACTTTAAGAAACTAAAAATAGAGATTCCTGGGTGGCTCAGTTGTTGAAGCGTACAAGTCTTCATCTCAGATCGGGTCTTGATCTCACGCTTTTCTACTCACCTCCTATGTTGGACATTATGCTTGCATAGCGCTGATTTAAAATACCTTTTGAAGCAAATGTTGGGTATTTGTCGTTTCCAACAGCTGAGTAATATTCCATTGTATACATAAACCACATCTTCTTTATCCATTCGTCTTTCAATGGACAGCGAGGCTCCTGCCAGAGTTTTGGCTATTGTGGACATTGCTGCTATACACATCGGAGTGCAGGTGTCCCCGCGTTTCATTGCATCTGAATCTTTGGGGTAAATCCCCAGCAGTGCAATTGCTGGGTCGTAGGGCAGGTCTATTTTTAACTCTTTGAGGAACCTCCTTTCCAGAGTGGCTGCACCAGTTCACATTCCCACCAACAGTGTAAGAGGGTTCCCTTTTCTCCGCATCCTCTCCAACATTTCTGGTTTCCTGCCTTGTTAATTTTCCCCATTCTCACTGGTGTGAGGTGGTATCTCATTGTGGTTTTGATTTGTATTTCCCTGATGGCAAGTGATGCAGAGCATTTTCTCATGTGCGTGTTGGCTGTGTCTATGTCTTCCTCTGTGAGATTTCTGTTCATGTCTTTTGCCCATTTCATGATTGGATTGTTTGTTTCTTTGGTGTTGAGTTTAAGAAGCTCTTTATAGATTTTGGAAACTAGCCCTTTATCTGATACATCATTTGCAAATATCTTCTCCCATTCTGTAGGTTGTCTTTTAGTTTTGTTGACTGTATCCTTTGCTGTGCAAAAGCTTCTTATCTTGATGAAGTCCCAATAGTTCATTTTTGTTGCAAGAAGTTACTGTGGCCAAGTTCCAAAAGGGTGTTGCCTGTGTTCTCCTCTAGGATTTTGATGGAATCTTGTCTCACATTTAGATCTTTCATCCATTTTGAGTTTATCTTTGTGTATGGTGAAAGAGAGTGGTCTAGTTTCAGTCTTCTGCACGTGGATGTCCAATTTTCCCAGCACCATTTATTGAAGAGACTGTCTTTCTTCCAGTGGATATTCTTTCCTCCTTTATCGAATATTAGTTGACCATAAAGTTGAGGGTCCACTTCTGGATTCTCTATTCTGTTCCATTGATCGATGGGTCTGTTTTTGTGCCAGTACCACACTGTCTTGACCACGGCTTTGTAGTACAACCTGAAATCTGGCATTGTGATGCCCCCAGGTATGGTTTTCTTTTCTGAAATTCCCCTGGCTATTCGGGGTCTTTTCTGATTCCACACAAATCTTAAAATAATTTGTTCTAACTCTCTGAAGAAAGTCCACGGTATTTTGATAGGGATTGCATTAAACGTGTAAATTGCCCTGGGTAACATTGACATTTTCACAATATTAATTCTTCCAATCCATGAGCATGGAATATTTTTCCATCTCTTTCTGTCTTCCTCATTTCTTTCAGAAGTGTTCTATAGTTTTTAGGGTATAGATCCTTTACCTCTTTGGTTAGGTTTATTCCTAGGTATCTTATACTTTTGGGTGCAATTGTAAATGGAATTGACTCCTTAATTTCTCTTTCTTCAGGCTCATTGTTAGTATATAGAAATGCCACTGACTTCTGGGCATTGATGTTTATAGCAGCAATGTCCACAATAGCCAAACTGTGGAAGGAGCCTCGGTGTCCATCGAAAGATGAATGGATAAAGAAGATGTGGTGTATGTATACAATGGAATATTACTCAACCATTAGAAATGACAAATACCCACCATTTGCTTCAACGTGCATGGAACTGGAGGGTATTACGCTGGGCAAAATGAGTCAATCGGAGAAAGACAAACATTATATGTTCTCATTCATTTGGGGAATATAAATAATAGTGAAAGGGAATAGAAGGGAAGGGAGAAGAAATGGGTAGGAAATATCAGAAAGGGAGACAGAACATAAAGACTCCTAACTCTGGGAAACGAACTAGGGGAGGTGGAAGGGGAGGAGGGCGGTAGGTGCGGGTGAATGGGTGATGGGTACTGAGGGGGCACTTGACGGGATGAGCACTGGGTGTTATTCTGTATGTTGACAAATTGAACATCAATAAAAAAATAAATTTATTATTAAAAAATGAGTGTTGGGAAAACAGTATGTGCATGCAAAGGAACTGAACCCTTACTTAACACCATAGACAGAAAATTAACTAAAAGTAGATCAGAGACTTACATGTAAGAGTTAGAATAATACAAACTCAGAAAAAAATACAGTGTGAAGCTTCATGACTTTGGATTTGGCAATATTTTCTTGGATATGAAAGGTAAAGCACAGGCAACAAAGGATAAATTGGGATTCAATTAAAAAATAAACTTTTCTACATTAAAGGATACTAAAAACCAAAAAAAAGGACAACCCACAGAATGGGGTGAAATATTTCAATTCATATCTCCCACAGTGGTTTATTTAGTCTCTATAATAGAGAACTACAACTCAACAACAAAAAACCTAATCACAAAAAGACGGAGGACTTGAACAGACATGTCTTCAAAGAAGACATCCAGATGGCCAATAGCCACATGAAAAGATGCTCTATGTCACTCATCATCAGGGAAATGCAGATAAAAACCAAAATGAGATAAGACCTCGTGCCCATTAGGATGGCTGTTATTAAAATAAAACAATTCAAAACGGAAAACAAGTGTCAGTGATGATGTGGAGAAACTGGAAGTTCCTTGCATTTGCCGGTGGGAGTATAAAATGGTGAAATTGATGTGGAAGTGGTTTGGGAGTTCGTCAAAAAAATGAACAAAGAATTATCATTTGATGCAGCATCTCCAGTTCTGAGTCTCTGCTCCAAAGTACTGAAAGCAGAGGTTTAGGCAGATATTTGTACACCCATGTTTCTAGCAGCACTATTTAGCCAAAAGGTGGGAAAAAACCAAAAGTTCAATAAACAGATAAATGATACACAAAGTGTGATACACACACACAGGGGAATATTATTCAGCCTTAAAATGGAATAAAATTCTGATGGGCACTACACCATGGATGAACCCTGAAGACCTTATGCTAAGTGAAGAGATCCAGACTCACATACACAAAACAAATATTGTTATGGTTCCACTTATACAAGGTACTTAGAATAATCACAGCCATAAGAGACAGCAGGTAGGGTGGTGGTTACTGGGCTTACGGGCAAGAGTGTTTAATGGATGGTGGTGATGGTTGCACAAAAATTCGAATATACTAATATTACTGAACTGTATACCTAAAATGGTTAAATTGATAAAACTTACATATATTTTACCACACAAAAAATGGTAATCGAGGAAAAAGGAATCTTGTGTAAGGTCACACAGTAAAAGCCAGACCTAGGTTCAGAAACTAAGTGTATATGATTCAGAGACTCAGGTCTTCACCACACTCCCATTCTGTTTACTGAAATGGTCTCTGGTTTTTTTTTTTATGATAGTCACACAGACAGAGAGAGAGAGGCAGAGACATAGGCAGAGGGAGAAGCAGGCTCCATGCACCGGGAGCCCGACGTGGGATTCGATCCCGGGTCTCCAGGATCGCACCCTGGGCAAAAGGCAGGCGCCAAACCGCTGCACCACCCAGGGATCCCTGGTCTCTGGTTCTATTCTGCTCTCCTGCCCTCTGGGCCTTCTATCATTTGCACATCACTGGTAGAGTTATTTTCCCAGGGAGATGTAACACAGGACAAGGTGTCATTTACCTTCCACATCCAGCCTGACAGCGTCACTTTTGCGGAAACTGACCGGATTGGAGACCTCACACTTGTATTTCCCGGCATCCTCCTTCCTGACAGGGTCTATGGTGAGGGTGCTGTTGTCCTGGGACAGCTTCATCCTATCCGTGAGCATTAGAATGTGGTCATTGAAGAACCACTGGATAGAGACCCCGGTGTTACTTGAGGAGCAGGTCAGGAACACAGAGTCATCTTCTGTGACTGTGGTGCTGCTGCCAGTGAGAAGGGGTTGGGACACTGGCTCTGTGGAGAAACAGAGGAGGTGACAGCATGAGAGTGAGCCTGCGGCCCAGGGACCCAGGAAGCTCTGTCAAGGTGCCCCTTAGGATGGCCCTGCCTCCTGTAGGTTGAGTGTCTTTGTTCAGGTGACGATCTATAAGGAGAGGGCTGTCCCTCCCCCTCTGGCCCTCCGTCATGTGTCTGCTCCCCCAGGACATCTCTGTAGTATCAGGACGGGGAACTTTCTAAATCCCCGTGTGCAGCATCCTCATCATCAGGGGGAATTTTATAGCCAGTGGCTTCCTGGGACCATTTCCTGAGATTTCTGAAAAGATCAGTCCCCCTCTCTAGTATGGTAGCTTTACATAGACAGGGAAGGCATTTCTCTTTTGTGAAATAATCTAGGCACTGGGTGTTATTCTGTATGTTGCCAAATTGAACACCAATAAAAAATAAATTTATTATTAAAAAAATAAAATAAATTTTTATTAAGCATAAAAATGGGTCAATGACATAATATATATTATTTTCTATTGTAGTATAAAAGTTAATATATTGTGGGATCACATTTGTCTTTTTAATATTAAGTTCCATACGGTATGAATTATATATACATATATTGTTCAGTTCTATTATTAGTTTAAAAATTAACAAAATGCCTTTCAATGTTTCTAACATGTCATAGTATTGTCACTTAATTTTGTTTCTCATTAGTTATATTCAACAACAATCAATTATTAGCTATAATTCTTTAAAAAATAAAAGAAAATATGTAAATGAATGAGATATAACACCTATAAAGTGTGAGTTTGAACACCTACTGCTTATGCCAATGGTAACTGCAGGTTGTGCAACCACTATATTATTGTCTGATTACAGCTGTAACAAATTACCATAAACTTATGTCTTAAAACAAAACAAAACAAAAAAACAAACAAAAAAACCCCCCAAAAAAAGAAAGAAAGAAAGAAAGAAAGAAAGAAAGAAAGAAAGAAAGAAAATGAGAACAGCCCAGCCAGTCTTTCTGAGCTTAGGTGTTGGAGAAGCTCCAATCTAAAGGGTTTCTCAGTATGAATAAGACTTTTACTTCCTGCCTGTGGATCGACTATTACAGGGAGAAAATCTTTAGAGTAGTGGTCACAGTTTTCACAGAAGGCTGGTACTCTTAGCTGTGGGCATAAATATGTACTTTGGCACTGCTCCTTCTGTGCCATGAAGGGACGTCATGGGGGCATCTACCTATATTGCAGTTGGGCACCATTATGCAGTGTTCTCCTCAGTGGTGGATCACGTGCTGGGGTCACACAGTGTTAGGAAACTGGGAGACTGCAGAGCCAGGACACAGTAGAGGGGCTGCATCAGGGCTCACTCTTTCTTGTTTCATGACCCAAGGGGCCATGAATCAGCAAGGGGAGGAAGTGCCTGCAGACATGTAATGGAAGTGTTGAGAGACAGTCCTGGGATTTGCTTGTGGCATCAAAATGGGAAAGAACATCTTCTAGGCTCTTTTCTGAAAAGCACACAGACCTTCACCACAGTGCTCAGTGCAGATGCTCCAGGGATGCACTTACCAGAGACTGTGATAGTCTTGACTGTGGTCTTATTGAGGCGGGTGCCATTGTTATAGACAAGGCAGGTATAGGATCCACTATTATTCGCAGTGATGTTGGAGATGAAGAGCTCCTGTGTGGATGGCTGAGGCCTCCCATTGATAAGCCAAGAATATTGTGCAGGTGGGTTAGAGGCTGTGCGGCAGGAGAGACTGAGGTTTGCCCCTAGACGGTAATAGGAGTCTGGGGGGGAAATGGTGGGTGTGCCATCTGGAGCAAACAGAATAAAGCCACAGGTGATGTAATCCCAGGGAAGGGGAAGCTCCCTGTCTGTATCAGGACCACAGTGTCCCTCTGATCTTCATCCCAACCTTGTTTTAAAAAGTTCAACCAGGGGAGCCTGGGTGGCTCAGTGGGTTAAAAGTCTGCCTTTGGTTCAGAGAGTGATCCTGGTGTTCCATGATTGAGTCCCAAAGTAGGCTTCCTGCATGGAGCCTGCTTCTCCCTCTGCCAATGTGTCTGTCTCTCTATGTCTCTCATGAATAAATAAAGCAAATCTTAAAATATAGTCTTCCTTCAGCTCGGGTCATGATCCCAGGGTCCTGGGATCCAGCCAGATACGGGACTCCCTGTTCAGCAAGAGGTCCCCCTCTCCCTCTACCCTTTCCCAATGCTTACATTCTGTCTCTCTCCCAAACAAATAAAATCTTTAAAACAATTTTAAAAAGTCCCACCAGAAGCCCGCTGTGTTCACTGAGCCTCGGTCTGATACATGGAGCTATTTCCCCTCCCAGGCTGTTGACCCTCCCAGGGAGGAGCAGCCCACCACCTCCTAGTCTTGGTTGGGCTAGGGCTGCTCAGGTTTGCCAGGCACAGGAGTCATGGCCAGGCTGGGCGTCCAGCTGAGGGTCATGGACGTGGGCCCCAGAAGGAGGGATGTGGCTTGGCCTCTGGCTGTGTGGACTTGAGCTGGCAGCTGGGCCAGGTAGGAACAGAAGTCACTCACAGAGAACATTCAGGGTGAATGGGTCACTACGATCAGCACTCACTGAGTTCCAAGTTTCACACTCATAGGGTCCTGTGTCATTCCTTGTGACACCATGTACAGTGAGAGTCCTGTTGTCCAGGGACAGCTCCAGCCTGGGACTGTCCGGGAGGCTCTTACTGTTTACTGACCACAGGCAGCTTGTGCTCTGAGTCTGAGCTTCACACATTAACACTACAGAATCCACATTCTCCACAGGGCTGGAGTTGTTGCTTGTGATGCTGGGTTTGTGTAACTCTGCTGTGCAGACAACAGAGAGAACATTGCCCTGTGTGGTACCTGTGATTCCTCTGTAGTATCTTTTATTTATTTATTTATTTATTTATTTATTTATTTATTTATTTATTTATGATAGTCACAGAGAGAGAGAGAGAGAGGCAGAGACACAGGCAGAGGGAGAAGCAGGCTCCATGCACTGGGAGCCCGACGTGGGATTCGATCCCGGGTCTCCAGGATTGCACCCTGGGCCAAAGGCAGGCGCCAAACCGTGGCGCCACCCAGGGATCCCCCTCTGTAGTATCTTTAATCAGAGTTGGCATCTCTCACCTCTCAGCCAACCTGAGTCCTTCAAAGAATAAGGCAGGTATGTATCTCAAGACAAATGTGAGAGGATCTGAGCGCTCAGAGAACACAGGCCCACCGCTCTCCGTCTGAGCAAGCACAGGCTTTCTCAGGTCAAATAAGCATCAGAGTTTGGTTGTGGAAGACACAGAACAGGGAGTCAGAGACCACCCCCCTGGAACAAGGTATTTCGGCAGAAATAATACTCAGTGAAACCAGGTGCAAGCCTGGAGTTCAATGTAGCACTTGGCTATAGGCCACGAAGTAGGGCATCTGCCAGGTGTTCCATGGTGACTGACATGAGACAGTGACTCCACACAGGGTGGAGCAGAGTCAAGGCTAGAAATGATCCAGAAATGAGTGAGGGAGACAGGCATGGCGTGGCTGGCTTTGGCAGAGAACTATGTGCTCCTCCTTCAGTCTTTAAAGTCTCTTTTCCCACTGCAGAGGACACTGAGGATCATTCTTGCCTCTCCTCATATACAACAGGATGTTTTCAAATGCAGAAATGGTGACTGGTAAGGGGCATCTGGGTGGCTCAGTTGGTTAAGTGTCTGCCTTTGGCTCAGGCCATGATCCCAGGGTCCTGGGATGGAGTCCTGCATTAGTCTCCCAGCTCAATGGGGCGTCTGCTTCTCCCACTATTCCTCCTTCCTGCTCATGCTCTCTCTCTCTCTCTCTCTCTCACACACACACACACACAGACACACACACACACACACACCGGTGGGAGGTGGCAGGGTGAGGGTGCGTGTATCTGGCTCCATTGGCCATTTGTAAACACAGTTGTAAGATAGAAATTTAAGAAATTAAATGTTTCCAGATGTGAAAATCAGAATTAATATGTGAAAAAACCAAGACCAGTTTTTGGAGGAGTATCTCTCTAGAGAGAGCACTATATGCTCTGCAGACCAAGTTCTGCAGTCCAACCAGGATCACCATATGATTGAAGGAAGGTGTTATAGTAGGTAAAAATCAGTGACTCCTTGAGTAGAGAAAGATGTGAATCCTATTAAGAAACAGGATTGACTGGGGGAAAGTCTGAGGTGCCTCTGTTATCATATAAAGGGAGGAGTGATCCCAAGTTAGTAGAAATGCATTATGTTAGCAAATTTAGGAAAGAAAGTCCCTGCCAGCAATTTCTATAGACAGGACAAATGGGATGAAACCAGGTGCTTGCATGTGGCTTTCATTTGACCTCAGGAAACACAAGTTTGATCAAATGTATCCCAATAAGGCAGCATCTAGGTGAAGGACAGTGACTGGTGGATCTCACCATGTGAGAGGATCCCACCCTATGGTAAAGGGGTCCTCAGGAGCACCCGTGTGTGTGTGTGTGTGTGTGTGTGTGTGTGTGTGTGTGTGTGTGTGTGTGTAAATAGGCAGTAAAGCAGTGGTGCGGGGTGTGGCCACGCCCACAGTGGGAAGTCTGGGGAACCACTGGGAAGAAAAGCTTCACCAGGAGGAGGGTAGGAGTCAGGAGTTAAAGGCATGAAATGAGCCCATGAGCCTTTGATGACTGCAGACCTGCCCCTACTGCCTTTGACTCCCTGGTTGAGTCACGTGGAGAGTAGATCAAAGGACGACATGTCCCTGTCAGGTGTGTTCCACTTGTTAGTGTCACGGAGGGAAAGAGCCCTGGATGAGGGCACAGTGAAAGCTCATTCTCCTGGTGACCTGGGCAAGCTGGCTCCTCACAGATCCTGGCAGAAGCTGCTGCTCTGATTTCTGTGTCCTCCAGGCAGTAGCCTGGGAGGGTGGGCCTGGCCACAGGGCTTAGCAGAAGAATCCAGGGAAGGCTTAAGGGCTGAGGGAGCTGCACAGAGCAGGACTAGTCCCAGCTGAAGAGGAGGAGGAGGAGGAGGAAGATGAGGGACTTGGAAGGAGCAGGGAGCCAGAAATGTCCCAGGCTGTGAGCGGGGGGCGGGGCGGGGGGGTTTACAAGTGACTTCAAAGACTCCAGGCAGGAAGAACCCACAGCTGACCCAGGGGCAGGCGCCAGGGCAGCCCTGCAAAACCTCCCACGGCCAAGCAACACCACAGGCATCAGGAGACTCTTCTCTGGGAGTGGCCTCAGGGGCTGGTGGTCAGAGGGACAGAACATGGCTCTCAGCCTCTGGATGGACAGGGACCAGGTATGGCCAGGACCTCCTAGGACTCTGCATACAGGGTCCAGATATGAAGAGACTGAATTATTCATTCATTCGTTTCCTCCTTCATGAAAGAGCAATTGAGATGTTGGGCCCTGTGCGGGTTCAGGGTACATGGTCAGGAGGAGAGGGCGGAGTCCTTTCCCTTACACGCCCGTGGGGTCACACCAACACATCAGGAAACAGTGAGTCCAGGTCCAGTGCAGGAGCTGAAGATCGGCCACTGAGGGGAGGCCTGGGCATTCCCCGCACTGACTCTGATCGTTGTTGAAGGTAATTTAGTTCTTGAGTAAAACCATGAATTCTCCATTTGCTCTTACTTCCCAGACAAGAAAATCTGCCTTGAGCTGTGGATCCCTAAGAAGAAAGGTCTGATCCACCAGCTGGTCTCAGGGTTCATAGATGCCTAATAAGGCCTCCTGAGTGGAGGAGGAGGAGATGGGGACGTGGCTGTAGACAGACCCTGTGGGAGCATCTTCTCTCCTCTGTTTCTCCTTGGGGGTGCTGACCTTCCTCTGGGGTCTCCTGTCTTCCAGGGCACTCAGACGGTGTCTCAGGGACCTTGCCTATCTCTGCTCTCCGCCCCACCTCTCAGGTGAGGGACCAGGCTCTGCCCCTCCCCAGTAGCTGAGCCCTGGCAGGTGACCCGCTCAGGAACCTCAGGACTCAGGCACCAGGAGATCATTGCTCCCAGTCAGCCTTGCCAGGAAGCCAAAACCCAAGCCTAGCACAGACTCCCCTAGCTTGGTCACAGGAGTCAGAAGCCCTGAAACAGGGTCTAGGCAGCAGCTTTCTGGCCTGAGCTTCTATGTGAGGATTCTAGGAACCCCTCAGGCCTGGCCATGACTGAGCCCCTCAGGGTCTTTCTCAGAGTCATGATTACTGGGAGGAGCACCAGGGGCTGGACTGAATCTGTATCCCTTTGGTGAGTTACACCTGTCAGGCTTGTTCTCTTTGCAGGGAATGTCTGCTGGGCTGGAATCCAGGAGTCAAATTCTGATCTTGGAAATGTGTCTCCACTGTGTGTCCTGCACTAAATGCTTGAACCACTACAGGGACATAATGCAGAGAGGGATGGAGGCCCAGTGCAGGCCTGTGAATCCTGTGTGTGTGAGGTAGAATCCCCCCACCCGACACCAGCGGTGAGAGAGGAATTACTCACGGAACACTCGGAGCTGTCCACGTGCTAGTGCAATTTCAAATTTTCTGTTTATGATTTGTAGGATGTAGGATCCAGTGTCGTTCAGGGTGATGTTCTGGAACAGCAGGGATCCATTGGGGTATATTGTCTCTCTGCCAGTGTATGCAGGCCCCGGGGTAGTGACGTTGGTGTCTATTACATATAATAGAATTCGATGGGCAGGCAATACAGTTTCCCCTTTGAACCAGGCAAGGCTTGCTGTATCCCCAGGCAGATTGAGGACCCGCAGAAGAGTGTCCTTCCCTTCAGCAGCATTGGGAGGCACGGACTCCATAGTGACTTGGGCAGTGGTGGGCGGGTTCCAGAAGGCTAAGAGTGAGACTAGGAGGGAAGAGAGGGGACGGATCAGTGTTTGGACTTCGTGTTGGGATGGAGAGCTGGGGCCCTGGAGATGGAGCAGGTCCTAAACCCCCAGCCTCGGAGTGTGTGTGTGAGTGGGCATGTGTGTCTGGGTGTCTGTGTGTGTCTCCTGTTGGTCAAGGTCAGCTACATGGCCACGCTACTTCTGGGCCTCTGAATTTAATTTCTTCTGATTCAAACCTCTCCCTCAGATGTCTGTGGCTCTCTAGGTGACTGCCCTCAGGTACCTGCTCACACTCAGGGGTCCTTGGGAGAAGCCTGTCCTGACCACCTCCTATGACCACCCTCTGTCTTCACGTCCTGACCTTTCCCTGCTCTGTTCCCTTCAGGGGGCTTGTCCTTACCTGACATGACATTCTAGATGTCTCTGCGGGTCTGTCTTCCTCCCAGAGAAATGAGCTCAGGGAGCAGGGACTGGTCTGCTCTGTGCTGTACCCCGGGGTGGCCCGGCTGCAAATACCCAGGGCTGAGCTTCCCCAGGGCCCTCCGAGTCTGGCGCTTATCGGTCAGGACCCCAGGGTGGTGGCAAGGGCAGGGTTTGGGGTCCCTGGTGTGGTTGCCATCAGGTTGCAAAACTGAGTCCCCGGTGAGGCGGCCCTTGGGTCCCAGCCCCTCACTCCCCACTTGCAGATCCCGAGGCCGTCCCGCCGCTGAGCCGGCTCCCCCGCCCCGCCCGCCGCCCCGTCCCCTGCGGAGCCCCGTCCCGTCCCCCCCCCACCCCGAGGCCCCAGGCCGCCGCTCCCCCGTCCTCCCGCCCCTCCCAGGGGATCGGCCCCCTCACCTGCCAGCAGGAGCTCCTGCCAGGGGCCGCGCCCTGCTCGGGGAGAGGCCGAGGGGGGCTCCATGGTGCCCGCTGCCCGCTCCGTCCGGCCCGGGTGAGAGCAGCTGCCGCCGCGCAGACGCTCGGGCCCCGCGGTCCCGCCCGACAGCTCCGCGTCCTTCCCCCTCCGCGCGGGGCCGCCTCTGGGGGCGGGGCCGGGTCACGTGGGCCGGGCGGGGGCTCGCCGGCCCCTCCCCCCGACCGAGGTCCCGGGTTCCCTTCCTCTGTCCCGGTGGGGGTCCCCGCAGCTGCTGAGGCCTCCCCGTCTCCAGCTGGGATTTCCCGGAAGACGCGAGCGCGCGCACGGGGCCTGCTTGGCACGAGCACGAGCCCGGGGCGTCGGGTCCGGGGCGCGCCCCGCAGCTCGGGGGCGAGGTGCAGGGTCCGCTCCCCCACAGCCCTCCCTCCCCGCCCTGGGGCTTCCCCCTGCAGAGCGGGAGCCCGGGGCCGCCTCCAGAGCGCCTGTCCCGGGACGTCACCCCCACCGGGCCTGGGGATCACCTGGGGAACGTCATCAAGACTGCGGAGGCCCAGGTGACCCCTGGACAGGCTGCTTTAGCAGATGCGCAGCCAGGCTGAGACCCCGGGACGTGGCGCCGGGGCCGCCTCTGCTCTGCGCCCACGCAGGGAGGGTCCGCAGATCCTGTGGAAAAGCAGATCTGACTCCGCAGGTGTGGTGTGGACCCCGGAGCCTGCATCTAACCAGCTCCCAGGGGACGCGGATCCTCCTGGCCCCGGGGGCGCAGGCTTTGAAGAGCCGGGCTGAGGGGGACCCGGTTCCCTGAGAGGGTGACCCTTCTCCCTTCCCTCAGTGGCCTGTGCTGTGTCCTGGCCTTGAGTCTGTGGGCACCACACACACAGCCCAGGGTCCCCAGATCCAGGGGATCGGTTCCCTTTGTAACAGAGAAGCCCAGCCGGGCCCGGGTCTCCCCAGTGATCTCATCTGTCTGGGGAGGATGGACTTCCTCCTGGTAGGAAGGTCACAGAGAGGACTCCGGCGTGAGACAGGGCAGGCTGGGTGATGACTGGTGAGGGTCCAGTGTCCATCCCTGGGTGTCACCTGCCTGGCATAAGCTTCCAGGGACAGAGCCTCAGGACCAGGTGTCTCATTTCAGTCACGAGATAGGAAGGGGGTTTCCCTCGTGTCCAGGGAGGAGAAGATGGTGGTGGCAGATTAGGTGGCTTGAGGTTCTCTGGTCCACAGAGAAGGATTTGAGGAGCCCCTCCCTCTCAGAGTCAGTTGGCTGGACTGTGGCCCAGAGACTGTTCATGTGCTCCTGAGTGTGCCGGCAGCCTGTGTCCTCTGCCTGGGGAACAGTCCTGTGGTCACCCCAACTCCCCCTGGCTGATGGAGTAAAAAGTGGGGGCTGTACAGGGACCCCTGATGGATCGGGATACTCCAAAGTATTTGGCAGGACACAACAGGCACGTGGGAAGGACCAGAGGGTCTGTTGCAGAAAGGATTGAAATCAGGCTCCTGCTCCAAGTCTTTAGCCAAAGCCAGCTTAGGGGTTTCTTTTCCTGGGTGTTGCCTGGATGTCCCCATGTCTCCTCCTGGAGGCACTGCCGCGGGCTGAACCCGGGATGCACCGGGCTCCAAAGGATGTGGGTGGCCCTGAGCCCTGGGCAGAGGTGAGGGCTGGTCAGCCCGGGGCCTGGTCCCTGTGGGTCCTAGACCTGCTGAGTCCATCCCAGGGCAGGGTGAGCCTGGGGCGAGGACAGGCACTGTCCAGAAGATTCCTGAGCCTGTGTCAGGAGAATTGTCCACCCAGGGATGTGCTCCCTCAGAGGAGCTCTCTGTCCTCCAAATTTCAAGGAATGATCTGGTAGTGGACTTTTCAGACTTTGGAAGAAACACACAATGGGGGTCTGGACACCACAACACCCTGTCTCCTCATCACAGCCCAGGGGTGGGGGCACTGCCTCCAAGTCATCTGTGTCCCTGTCTGTCCTCTGCTCTAGGCGTCCCCACAGGAACCAGGAGGTGGAGCGGCTCCACCCACACTCAGCTGAGGGATGCAGGGCTGCCTCTGGAGAGGGGAGGAGACCCTCAGCCCCTTGGAAACAAAGGCGGATCTTGGGTTCTCCTGTCCCACCTGCAAGGAAATGTCCCCTGGTTTTCCAGGCCTCCATGGGCTGCTGAGAAATCTTCAGGGAGACACAGCAGGGGTCTCCACAGACCAGGGGCCCTCAGGATGAGGAGCCTGGGAGCCAGGAGGACTGTGCTTGGGTGAGACTGAGGGGGGTCAGAGCCTGCTGGGCTGTGGGGCCCTGAGAAGGCTGTTGGCTACAGAGCGGCTCTGCCGCCCTCGGCTGGACAAGGAGGGAAGGAGGGAAGACAGAGTCCTGCCCTGCAGTTGGCTCTTTTTTAGAAATTTGTACTTTAATATTTCATACATCTCTATATAATTTGAACAATGTTATTGAGATAGAGTGGACATATAGGAAACTCACCAGGGATGCCTGGGAGTTCAAGTCTGCCTTTGGCTCAGGTGATGATCTCCTGGTCCTGGATGGAGCCCCACGTGGGACTGACTCCCTGCTCAGTTAGGATTCTACCTCCTCTTTTACCCCTCCCTCTTGCTCCCGCTCTCTCTCCCAGTAAAGAAATAGGTTATACTCAACCTATGTAAAGTACACAGTTTATTAAGGTTTCCCATGTGCATGCACCACAGACGTCACTCCTACGTGAAAGTAGTGAATATGTCCCTTCCACTCAAAAATCTCATGTCCTCTCTATTCTCTTCCTTTAGTCCCTCTTAACCCTCCTTACCCATGTTCACATGAAACCTTACATTTGATTGTTGTTATATATTTGTTTCAATTTTTAATTTTAAAAAATTGAATTCTACTATTTGGCTCCTGAGTAAGTTCTGTACTTGGTGTGGTTTAAAAAAATTCACCCAGGGCAGCCTGGGTGGCTCGGCGATTTGGAGCCTGCCTTGGGTCCAGGGCATGATCCTGGAGGCCGGGGATGGAGTCCCGCGTCAGGCTCCCCACACGGAGCCTGCTCCTCCCTGCCTGTGTCTCTGCCTCTTTCTCTCTGTCTCTCAATAATAAATAAATAAAATCTTTAAAAAAATTTCACCCATTGGTACATTTGTTTTGTGGATTCACCAGTTTTTCTCTTTACACCATTTTTTCTCATTACACTGGAAAGATGCAGAAAGGTCTTTTTCAAAAATAATTCACTCACTTAGGGACATTTATGTTGTTTCCAAGTCTGGACTATTACAAGTAGACCTGCCAGGAACTTTTGTGCAGCAGTCTTTGAGATGGCTGTGGGGTCTCATATCCCTTGGGGAGAGTTGCACCCAGGAGGGCAGTGAGGATCGCTGAGGAGGCACATGTTTACTTTGTTGAAGAACATGCTAGATTGTTTCCCAAAGTATTGTAATATTACTTTCTCACTAGCAATGTATGAGACTGCCCGCTGCCCCCATGCTCAACAACACTGATCATGGACAGTCTTTTAAATATTTTGCCTTTCTGATGTATGAGAAGTGGCATCTCAGGGTGCTATTTGCTTTGGTTTCAACTGTGAAAACATTTATCATTGTCTTTTATCTTCCTTTTACTTTATTAACAGGTCATATGAGATCTAGCCACTTAATAGTGTTACATTTTACCTATATACTACATCCCCCCCAACCATTCATCTGCGTAGGACATTTAAGTTGTTTCCATATCTGGGCTGTTGGGAATAGTACTGTAATGAGCACTGGTGTGCGCCTATCTCCTCAAGATATTGCTTTCAATTCTTTTGAAGAATTATCTAGAAGGGGGATTGCTGGATCGTATTGTAGTTTTATCTTCAATATCTTGAGGAACCTCCATACTATTTTCCAGAGTGGCTGTAGCAGCCTGCATCCCCACAAACAGTGTATGAGGGTTCCCCTTTTTCTGCATCCTCACCAACATTTACGGTTTCCAGACTTGTTAATTTTAGCTACTCTGACTGGTGTAGGGTGATAACTCATGTGGTTTTGATTTGTATTTCCCTGATGCCAAGTGATGTGGAGCAGTTTTTCTTGTGTCTCTTGGCCATTTGTATGTCTTCTTTGGAGAAATGTCTGTTCATGTGTTCTGCCAATATCCTGGCTGGATTTTTTGTCCTCTGAGTGTTGAGTTTCATAATTTCTGTTAGATTTTGGATACCAGGCACATACTGAGAATAAATTTGCAAATATCTCTTCCATTCCGTAAGCTTCCTTTGAGTTTTGTTGACTGTTTCCTTTCTTGTACGGAAGCGTTCTATCTTCATGTAGTCCCAAAGGTTCATTTTTGCTTTTCTTTCCCTTGTCTTTGGAGCCATGCTAGCCCATTTAAAATCAGATCATTTGTTTGTTTCGTTTTTACTATGCTGTTCTAGGAGTTCCTTATATATGTTATATATAAACCCCTTATCTGTACATGTTCTGAAAATGTTCTTGCCCATTTGCTCGGTTGCCTTTTCATTTTGTTGATGATTTCCATTGCTGTACAGAAACTGCTTAGTGTGATATAGGTCTACTTATTGATTTTCATTTCTGTTGCCTGTGCTTTTTGTGTCATATACATGAAGTCATTGCCAAGAAGAATGTCATCAATCTTTCCCCCCTATGTTTTCTCTTAGGAGTTTTACTGTTTGGGGTCTTTAAAAAATTATTTGTTTATTCATGAAAGACAGAGAGTGAAAGAGAGAGAGAGAGAGAGAGAGAGAGAGAGAGAGGCAGAGACACAGGCAGAGGGAGAACCAGGCTCCACACAGGGAGCCCGATGTGGGACTCGATCCTGGGATTCCAGGATCACACCCTGGACAAAGGCAGGCACTAAACTGCTGAGCCACCCAGGGATTCCCTACTGTTTAGGGTCTTATATTTAAGTCATTGATCCAGTTTGAGTTGATTTGTATATGTGTAAAGTAAGTGTGCCATTTCATTCTTTTGCATGTGGCTATCCACATTCCCCAGCATCATTTGTTGAAGACTCTGCTTTCCCACTGTGTATTCTTGACACCCTTGTCAAAGATCATTTGATCATACACGCATGGATGTCGTTCAAGGCTCTTTGCTTTGTTCCGCTATTGTTCCCCTCTGTCAATACTGGTACCTGACAGAGAACTGGTTCTGAACTGGGTTCAGCTGCTCATACCACAAGAATCCACGCTTGAGAGACCAGTGATGGA